GCTGCCGATAGTATTATTAGAAGGCACTTTGGATGGAGAGCTGGTTTGGAGCGTTTCCCACGAGGACTGAGGTGGAACATGGCCAGATCTCGGTGTATAAAGCAGTGTGAGGAGAGAGGATGCAAGGCTGATTGTGACTCGGATGTAGTGAAAGCTGCGACTAAAGAGGTGCTAATTAGCAGAGCTGTTGTGAAGAGGGAGCAGGTGAGTCGGCTTTACTTATTATCAGAGTAAAGAAATCATTTTTATTCGGGCCAAAAAACAAAACAAAATCTTATTTGTATGTGTGTGTATGCGTGCGTGCGCACACACTCTGGAGTGGGTGTGATGTATGTGTTATGTTACATGTAACTAAACAATCTAACCTTAAAATGAAACCTTTCTGTCTCTTGGATCCAGCCGCAGTGAATGTAACCTTTGAATCATAGCTTTATTGCAGTCACAAAAGTTCCATTGTGTCCTAAAAGCAAAGATTTCAGACGGTGGTTTGTGGATCTATGGGAACATGAAACAGTAAAGACGTAAACTAGTTTTTGTGATATTTAACATAAGAAAGATCTGCTACTGTTACTGATGCTACTTGGCCCTGTCCCAATACCCACAATGCACCCTACACTCCTGTGTGTGCATTTGTTTGAGGTGCACGCAAGGGTTTGAGTGTGCAGGTTACAAGCGTGCCAAAAAGGCGGAATTGGGACAGTTCACACTGAGAGCAGGTTACGTCAGCGACTAGTCAAGAGATGGTCATTTTCAGACCTAAACTTTCATTTCGTCTGACCCTGTGGGAAACAAAATGAGTTGCTCCACACACGTTAAAATACAGTACATGTTTATTGGTTATTCGTAGTTTGAGATAGCTGTATATCTTTTAAGTTAAATGTGGGTTACTAACTGTTGGTCAGTTTTTATACATCCTAAGTTTATTGTACTAAGTGTAAAGTTTAAATTGAATGTTATATGAATGATTGCTTTAAAAAAGTTATTAAATTGTTAACATAGAATGTCCGTAATTCTTCATCAGTCCTTTATGCTTCTTTCCGAGTAACATAGCAACATTTATTCACACACATACAGCATATATATTTCAAAACTTACACTTAGATGCATTTTCCTGACGTTTTGGTGTGTATCGCAAAGAATTATGGGCAATATCCTTCGCCAGAGTCCGCTTAGATGCAGGCTACGGCAAAGTGTGGATCAGGGGCGCGAAGGGGGAGGGGCTAAAGACCTCCCTAGAGAATTGGGACATCCTACGCACTCGCACCCATCATCGGGAACGCGAAAATGAAGGGCGCGAGGGTGGAAGCGCAAGTATTGGGAGAGGGCCCTGACACTGATGCTACTGTTACTGATGTTAGTGATACTGATGCTACTGTTACTGATGTTAGTGATACTGATGCTACTGTTACTGATGTTAGTGATACTGATGCTACTGTTACTGATGTTAGTGATACTGATGCTACTGTTACTGATGTTAGTGATACTGATGCTACTGTTACTGATGTTAGTGACACTGATGCTACTGTTACTGATGTTAGTGATACTGATGCTACTGTTACTGATGTTAGTGATACTGATGCTACTGTTACTGATGTTAGTGATACTGATGCTACTGTTACTGATGTTAGTGATACTGATGCTACTGTTACAGATGCTAGTGATACTGATGCTACTGTTACTGATGTTAGTGATACTGATGCTACTGTTACTGATGTTAGTGATACTGATGCTACTGTTACTGATGTTAGTGATACTGATGCTACTGTTACTGATGTTAGTGATACTGATGCTACTGTTACTGATGCTAGTGATACTGATGCTACTGTTACTGATGTTAGTGATACTGATGCTACTGTTACTGATGTTAGTGATACTGATGCTACTGTTACTGATGTCAGTGATACTGATGCTACTGTTACTGATGTTAGTGATACTGATGCTACTGTTACTGATGTTAGTGATACTGATGCTACTGTTACTGATGTTAGTGATACTGATGCTACTGTTACAGATGCTAGTGATACTGATGCTACTGTTACTGATGTTAGTGATACTGATGCTACTGTTACTGATGTTAGTGATACTGATGCTACTGTTACTGATGTTAGTGATACTGATGCTACTGTTACAGATGCTAGTGATACTGATGCTACTGTTACTGATGTTAGTGATACTGATGCTACTGTTACTGATGTTAGTGATACTGATGCTACTGTTACTGATGTTAGTGATACTGATGCTACTGTTACTGATGTTAGTGATACTGATGCTACTGTTACTGATGTTAGTGATACTGATGCTACTGTTACTGATGTTAGTGATACTGATGCTACTGTTACTGATGTTAGTGATACTGATGCTACTGTTACTGATGTTAGTGATACTGATGCTACTGTTACTGATGTTAGTGATACTGATGCTACTGTTACAGATGCTAGTGATACTGATGCTACTGTTACTGATGTTAGTGATACTGATGCTACTGTTACTGATGTTAGTGATACTGATGCTACTGTTACTGATGTTAGTGATACTGATGCTACTGTTACTGATGTTAGTGATACTGATGCTACTGTTACTGATGTTAGTGATACTGATGCTACTGTTACTGATGTTAGTGATACTGATAACGAGTGTACTGTTACTGATGTTAGTGATACTGATGCTACTGTTACTGATGTTAGTGATACTGATGCTACTGTTACTGATGTTAGTGATACTGATGCTACTGTTACTGATGTTAGTGATACTGATGCTACTGTTACTGATGTTAGTGATACTGATGCTACTGTTACTGATGTTAGTGATACTGATGCTACTGTTACTGATGTTAGTGATACTGATGCTACTGTTACTGATGTTAGTGATACTGATGCTACTGTTACTGATGTTAGTGATACTGATGCTACTGTTACTGATGCTACTGTTACTGATGTTAGTGATACTGATGGTACTGTTACTGATGTTAGTGATACTGATGGTACTGATACTGATGCTGTTTCTGATGACTTCAGAGCACTTGTCAGACTGCAGCCATTAGTTTGATCCCAATGATGAGCAATGTTTCCACAAGATAAGTTGTGGCCATACACCCGCAGGTGAAAGCCAGATCTCGGGCAGGGCCTACTTCATACTAAAATAGCATGATAAAGAAGCAAGTAAAACCAGAGCCAGATTAACGGAAAGACAAAGTACGCACGTATATACATATATATATTGCGTGGGGACTGTGGGGACAGATCTACCAGGGTCTGCACTAGATCATATATGCAATCGGGACGGAAGCGGAAGTAATTATATCCAACTACCTTAACTAATAGATCCATGCCTAAACTTCAACAGCCATTCCCATAGAATAACCCAAACCCACCATTAACCCTAACCTTAACCATCTAAAACTTAATCAATCACCACTCAAGAACTTGTTAGTCTAAAACTAATTCGAAAGGATTGTTACTTCCGCGTCCGTCCCGATTCTATCTATGATCTAGTGCCGACCCGTCTTTCAGCTCCAGTTTGTTCACACACTGCGCCGCCTCCTCGCCTCCACAGCAGCAGCATGTGACTCTCATCTCTCTGTTGTGATTGGCTGTCTTCCCCGTGCTCTGAAAATTAACATTAAAATGGTCTTGGAAATCAATGTACAAAATATAATCTCCAAATTAAGAAATTCAAAAGCACGGGATAAATTTGTAATAGATACCTATCCAGTGAAACGCTATAAACTGTGTCTGTTAAAACCCATCACACATCTAATTCATTTATTGATGACTCAGGCAGCTGTTCAACTGAAGTGGAAGATGGCCAAAATTATACCTATATATAAATCAGGTGACAAAACAGACCCTGCTAACTATAGGTCCATCAGCATTCTGCCAACCATCTCAAAGATTGCTGAAAAAATGAGTGGCCAAATCTTTTACAGAACATCTTAACACTGGCATAGGCCCCATGCAATTTGGTTTTAGGTCCCAGCACTCAACAGAAACCGCTGTCTCTGTATTCGTAGAAAATGTTAAGTCTCATCTTGATAAAAAATAGTTGTGTTGCAGCTGTCTTTATTGATTTTAAACTTGCATTTGACACAAAAAAGCATGTAAAGCTCCTGGCAAGACTCTCTGCATTTAATTTTAGCAATAATTTGGTTGAAAGTGGGTGAAATCATATCTTTCAGACCGGCAGCAGTGTGTGCAAGTCGGTGACAGTAGGTCCCCCTTTCTCCATTACAACATAGGGGTACCTCAGGGGTCAATTTTAGGCCCCTTACTTTTCTCACTTTATATTAATGACTTACCAAGCAAATGTAAGACTGTGGACACCATTACGTATGCTGATGACACAGTTATATTTACACAAGCAAAAAGCGCAGAGGAGGCAGCCCTTTGTCTGTCAACAGTTCTTGATGATCTCCAGAAATTGTTACTTGACTTGTGTCTCTGTCTGAACGTTAAAAAAACTGTATCTATGTTCTTTTCCAAGCCAAATACAAAATTAAACCCAGCAAAAGTAAATCTGGGAGGTGTAGCCTTAGAGAATGTACTGTAATGTAAGTACTGTATCTTGGTGTACTGCTCGATTCAAAATTGTCATTCCAAAATCATGTTAAAAAAATAGTAAAAACTTTTTTATTTATTAAATTTTAAATTTCATAATTTTAAACATATTAGAGCTTCCTTGAATGACCGAGCAGCACTAACTTTCCGACATTCTATGATACTATCGCATATAGAATACTGTATCACGAGCTGGTCCTATGCTGGTATCCCAGCGATAAAACCAGTCGAGTCATGCTAAATGGGCACTTCCTTGACAAAAAACCTCTCTCTTTCCACCACTGTCAAATCTTAGATAAAAAAACATTCTACTAAGTTTTTCCAATATTAAGTTATTTAAATCTACTTGCTTGATCTTCAAAGTTTTACATGATTTGGCCCCACCACCAATGAGTGAGATCAAGCAGAAATCTGTTTGTGGCGCTGGTCGCTCGAGTCGAGCGACAGTCAGAGGAGATTGAGATCTCCCACTGAGAAGAACAGCTTCTCCCAAAATGTCCTGTCAGTCCAGCGTGTAATGAACTGGAACAGAATACCCACATCAGTGAGGGACTGCACCAGCCTCCCCACATTTAAGCATCAGTTAAAACTGTGGCTGAGGGATCAGTGCAATAGGGTTTGTAAAATGTGAGTAACCAGAGAAAAATACTGCGGATCTATCACCATTCAACACATTTATGTTTGTTCTAATCTGTCAACGCTCTGGGAAACTCAAGACTGAAAAAATACTTCCATGGCTCTCACTATCCAAAATGTAAAATCTTCTCTGACGGTAACCTCTGTGTGGCAGTCACAGTATAGACTCTTGTCACATTAGACTCTTGTGTGCTATATTGTGTTTTTGTTTGTTTCTGCAATGTCAGTGATGGGCTACGTGAGTCACTATTTGACACTTTGGGTTGAGAGTTGGAGCCCTCACACGTGGAAACAGAAGAGTGTTGAGAGTCTGTCAGAATGTGTCACCTCCGACTGGACCGCCGCAGGTCTGCGCATGCGCAGTTGCATTTATATTTCAATCGTGTTGTGTTGAGAATGTTAAATACTGCACACACTGATCAAAAAAGAGGCAATAACTGCTAATCTGAGAAAATTCTTAAACCAAGACTCTTCATTGGGTCAAAGCCATTTTTATTCATATATTTCAAGAACTGTACTTTATTGTCTCATTCCAAGATAGACGTTTCTGGTATCTTTTTAAAACATTTAACATCATTTTGCTTTGTCCGATTGGCAAATCTTGTTTTAAGGCAGTCAGAATGTCCTCAAATTACGATACAATTTGCCAAATTAGAGCAATTTAAAAAACAAACAAAACAACTTCGTTTTCATAACTTTTTGCAGTGCAGTTGTCTGAAAACAGCTGATCTTGTGATGTGACCAAGAGACACAGATGTGGACAAAACCAACCTGTGTTGAGTGGTTAGAAAGCGAGGTACCAGAGTTTTCTCTGAATCGTGATTGGATTTGAGCTGCGTAGATGACGCGCGCTCTCTCGCCATCTCTCCGGAGCCAGATCTGTCCCTTCTCATTCCTCACCGCGGGATTTCCTCTGCAACCAGCTCTGAAATCCTCTGTGAGCTTTGAGGTCCTCTGTGAGCTTTGAGATCCTCTGTGAGCTTTAAGATCCTCTGTGAGCTCTGAGATCCTCTGTGAGCTTTGAGGTCCTCTGTGAGCTTTGAGGTCCTCTTTGAGCTCTGAGATCCTCTGTGAGCTCTGAGGTTTTCTGTGAGCTCTGAGGCTGGAGAAGGACATAGCAGCATAGCACGTGTGTAAGTGTATAAACACACACACGCACACACACACGGAGCAGAGGAGCGGAGCAGGTGCGCGCGTGGAGGCTGCATGGAGACGGGATGGAGTAATGGATGGACTACACTCGTGGGGGACTCTTGCCGAAGTGATTTGACTTGTGCTGAATCAAAGTAAGTCATTTCATGTGCAAATGCTGCGTTTTGTCAAATCTCGTTTTCATTTGCGATGGTAAGAAGTGAGCGCTCAGGCGAATGGCACCAACGCTTTACGCACTGATTCTGAACCGGTTTGGACAAATACTAAAATCCGGAGTCTCCTACCTTTCCACTGAGCTACTTTTATGCCACAGAAAAGGCAGAGAGTAGTTATCTTACAGACACTTAAGCCTGATAATGGAGTTGTCATTCTTAGTCTTAAGTGTCTGTATAATAATACACACATGCTTAGTATCTCTGCAATAGCGATGGATTTATAGTTAAATAGATGTAACGGGTTAATGTGATGACTGAAGTGAATAATTCAGGTCAGGATCATATGCTGAATCCTTTAGGGAGCTACCTTAGGGCTACTGGTAGCTCCGGAGCCACAGGTTGGAGAGCCATAACATAGATGTTATCATATGTTTGTGGTTAAATCATATTCTAGGTTTTTTCTTCTTTATTTCAAGCACAGCTCTTACATATGCTATGAATAGTTTACTGGATTGAATTGTTTTCTGAATCTGTTGCTTGGTCCACAACCTTATTGATTTTTCAATATAGGTTCCATAATCTGTAAGTATAGAAGAGGTCTGAAGCAAGAATTGAGAAGAAAAACCTCTCCCATAGGATCAGTGCTATCAATTCCAATATACTGAATGTTACATTTCTGCTATCATTTTTGATCACATTTGACAGTATAGTTTTTGTAGCACACTCCGTTTTAGAGTCATGTAAAAAAAACATGTAAAAAACAGTGTAAAATCAGCCGCAGTAAACAATCCTTGAGTTGATTGCGTCCAAACTGCAGCAGTGAATGATTGGCACAGAGAGGGTCAGGGTTAGAGTCCAGACACAGAAACGTATCTGAACCTTTGCACCAAATGTCACTTATGTCACATACGACACACGGCGCGGAAATCGAAGCATCGTTAGTCAACATCACTGCTTCTTTGTGCCCAGTGGCTTTTCAAGGGAAGATGAGATACTAGATGACTGATTTATTCTGTGTTCATGTCTGTGTCACATAAAGAAAAGTGTGCATGAAACTTATACATCTGTACATGTTAGCAGCACGAGGTTCAGGGACACAGATGTGGTTATTGCACATTCAGATCATACAGTGGTGTAGTTCCTGGTACCATATATCCAGTGTAGCCTTCTCCATAAACGTCATATTACTCAACGTATGTATGCATTTCAAAGCTCACGTGGCTGTGTCCCTGGTGAAATGGAATTGAACCATCTCCATAACATTAGGTCTAAACTGGCCCTTACTCTGGACCTCACTAAAGCGAGCACAGTGATCCTGTGCCTCTGCTTCAGTGGTTGGTTTTTTCCTCTAATCCCGGTCCAACTCCAGTGGCTCCGTTAGCCTAGTGTCTGACGCTGCTGCATACATGTAAAACTGCAGCCACAGACACCGCTCTTTGTGTTTATTCAACTGATGAGGGACAAACAGCCCCTGACAGTGAGGGCAGACGGAGGGAGAGTGTTAAAGAGAGCAGAATCAGAAGATATAGGAGAAATGAACACTGTGTTTTATAGTTCCTTTGTTCACCTGCAGAAATACTCTGTTCTGTTCTGTCTCTCTTTGTCCTGTCAACAGCCGTGGGTTTATTAGAGGTGGAAGAACTTAAAGCTGGGGTACATCAATGCTGTTAACTCCGTTCAATTCAGGTAACTCTTGTATCGCCCTAAATCACACTATAGTTTTTTCAAAGGATATTAAATTCGCCAACACAGATCAGTTCAAACACAAAAAATGAAATGACAGAAAGAACATTGAGCCATTAGTCCATAAGGGGCCCTGGATCATCACTGTCCTCAGACCCTCTTGCATCCAAGGAAAACCCCAGTGGGAAAAAGTGGGAAACCTCAGGGAGGCCCAAATTGAGAGAGGAATCTGCTCCCACAAACGGACTGAGGCTGTAGATCCAGGACAGAGGTCCAGGACTGAGGCAGTAGATCCAGGACAGAGGTCCAGGACTGAGGCTGTAGATCCAGGACAGAGGTCCAGGACTGAGGCAGTAGATCCAGGACAGAGGTCCAGGACTGAGGCAGTAGATCCAGGACAGAGGTCCAGGACTGAGGCTGTAGATCCAGGATAGAGGTCCAGGACTGAGGCTGTAGATCCAGGACAGAGATCCAGGACTGAGGCTGTAGATCCAGGATAGAGGTCCAGGACTGAGGCTGTAGATCCAGGACAGAAGTCCAGGTCTGAGGCTGTAGAACAAAGTGTTAAGCCGCGTTCAGAGTTGAGTCGACTTTCAATGCAAAGTAAATGGTGACGCGCGTTCGAACATCTAACTGCATGTGCGTCTCGGAACGCGCGGCAAAGTCGCGGGGGAAGGGCAGGAGCGGAAAATGTATGCATGCAGGTGATACATTTTGTTGAGCGTTTCCTCGGGATGCTCGTGCAGCGACCAATCAGAGAGCCGCAAAGTGGTCAAGGGGACATTAGTGGTCTGAGCGAGCAGACTGAACATACTGTAAACAGCCAAAACAGGAGCTACACCAGGACTAAACCAGGGTTGACAATGGGGGACATAGTGCTTGTGAACATATGCGTTTTCATGCTCCCGTGACTTTATTCAACTGCTTCAAACATTTTCGCCGATGCGGAAGTAGTAAGTAATCTTTATTTATGTATTTATTTATATACCGCCTTTCACAGACCAGAGTTTACAATTGTTATTTTTGGGCATTTGTCCTCTCACTCCACACAGAGATAGGAGCAGGGTCGCCGAACAGGAGGCGCATGCCAGACCTATTGTACATATTTTTAGTGGTAGTGGAAACCGGAGTACCCGGAGGAAACCTACGCAGACACGGGGAGAACATGCAAACTACACTCAGAAAAGCCCTGCTCCGACCGGGATTCGAATCCAGGACCTTCCTCCTGGCACGGTGGCACGGTGGCGGCACGGAAGTACCGTTTAATATTAAAAAATAAACGTAGGGCAGACCTCCGTGAACACATAATGCTGTTATATAAAGTCTCTGGAAGGTCTCTGGACACAGAGACGCTGCGGAGCTGCATTATTGGAGAAGAACTTTACACAAGAAGCTGCTAGCTTAACTCAGTTTGCATCAAAGCCTGCCCGCTACTTCCGCCACTTCCAGTGCGCGCCACCGCTGGCCAGGACTTCTGGTGTGAAGACCCCTGTGTCTGAAAACTAGAGAACGTGCGTCTGGTGTGCGAAGCTTCAGCGTTCCAGCGTCGGCGGTGTGAAAGCAGCTTTAGGCCCCTATCCATCCCTCCATCCATCCAGTGTCTTGCCCAAGGACACAACGGCAGCAGAGATCAGTACGAGTTGGTGGAGAAGGTTCCGTGGTGGGCTCAAACTCACGATCTTCAGGCTCAAAGGCCAATGCACTACCAACTGTGCCACTGTCGGCCCAAGGTGTTAGGCCCCTTCATTTATTGTTTTACATAAATCCCAAATGTGACGATTTTGGCGTGGGGTCTGTGTGGGCTGTAGCAAAGTAGTCCACACAGTAGCAAAGTATGTTTTATCCATGATGTTCAGGATAAAACATACCGCCCACAAGACTTTTTCAAGTCATTTATTTTTCATTTATTCATTTATTCATGAATTTCAGGCCGTGGCACAGAGACCTGGAAGGTCGACAAATAGAGTCCAGTCCCACAGTGTAAAAGGACAAAGACAGAAAGAGAATGTACTGTGAGTAAACGTGACCTCACTGCCTGAAAGAGAAAGACTTATTAAGTCCCAACTCAGTGATACATGTGTTCAGCTCCACTGCTGAACACATGTATCACTGAGTGTGTGACATCCTGACACTGTGTGTAAGGATAATACAAGGTTATTTAATTGTGCCGTTATTTACAAATTATTATTACAATGATACAACAATTTATACTAACAATACAAATAATATACACATATTCCAAAAGCATAAATCCAATGCTTTACAGACTTTTTAAAGAGTCCTGTTCTTCCAGCAGCTGAGATTCGGGACAAACTTTCAGCTCACTGTGATAATGACTCACAATGCTGTGCTTTATCAATCCTTTGCAGATACACAGTCCGGGGAGGTACTTACTATCTGAGAAGGCACTGCAAAAAGTGGGGGATAATAAGTAAAACATTTTTCACATTTAGCAAAAGGTATCTCAATCTGAGCACATTCTGCCTTAAAACAAGATTATCCATTTGGACAAAGCAAAATGATCTTGTTTAAAAAAAAAATATACAAGAAAGTGAGAAAAAAAAGCAACAGTTTAAATAAGACTTAATGGCTCTGTCCCATTGGTGAATCTTGTTTTAAACACTCTCAGAATGTGCTCAAATTAAGATTAAAGCAACTGGATCAAAGCAGTTATTACCTCATATTTTATGATTTTTACAGTGTGATGCAAGATTGGGCAGATGGGCTGTACTGTGCCTTAGAATGAGTCTGGTGTGTGTGTGAATGGTTGGTGGTGGTTGGCTCGCATCTGTCAGTGTGCCCCAGGGCAGGGCAGAATAATTATGTCAAGCATGTAGAGGGATAAAATAAACCAATGCATTATTATTATAATCAGGTAAAGATCAAGGATCTTCCCTAAATACTAAATAGATTCAAACGACAACCGCAGTTGCCTGTGAAGTTAACAAAACTGTTGATTTATCAATCACAGATAAGAAAATGAAACAAATAAAACAGTCATTGCGTCACGCCTGGACAAAAACTGCCACACACACGCGCACGCACACAAGTACATCTTCTGCAGTGAATAAGCAGTTCCAGTCCCTGTGGTTCACGTGAGCCTCGAGGATAGTGCCTTTGTCTCCT